GGGGGAATAAGGAAGGAAATAACGAAACAGAACGAAAGAAATTGTAATATGTCCCTCGACCATGTCTTTATTCGAATAACGTCTTTACATGATGTACATGTATCCGGATACCCCGAGAACTGGATGTGGGCGGTTGTGGAAGGACACTGACAGAAAAGCATGCATCAAGTCACCATTGAGACCGTACGGTAGAAAATCATTGACAGAACTGTAATCACCCCCCCCCCCCAAAAAAAAACAAACCCAACAAAAGAAAAACAACAATAACAACAAACCAACAAATCCACACACATACACCCCTTTTTAACCCCCTTTTCCTCCACCTAGTAGTTGGCCTATACCTTATCAAAAATAAAATATTCTAATAATAAATAAAAATCCATCACACTACACAGATAGATTTAATGTTATAACTTCCTAACAAGGAACAGACTGGAAGGTTCAGAAGAGTGAACCGACACTAGCATAGAGAATTATTTGGTTAACCTTTAGCGTTACCAGAACACCCAAAAGACTTTAATATAGAAACTTTCTGTTCCCTGGAAATCATTAAAATGTTGTGGTATATCCAACAATAACTTTGAATAACACAATCTAAATACTTGAGCCGGGAAAAAATCAAGGCAATCAATTTTAGAAATCCGGATTTTCCCGATTTATCCGGATTTTCGTCACCCACGTAATGTGTATTGAAGGTGCAAAAATAATAGCACCTCGCATACATATCAGACTAAAGCCAGCCCACAACACTTTCCGAATCAAAATGTTTCTCTTGAATTTAAAAAAAATTGCTTTAAAGTTTTTTCAGAAACAGCAGAGGGATTTTCTTTTTGCCATACGAGGTGGCTTAGTTCACAATCTGTAAGTAAGCTACTGAATTAATTACAGAAAGTAATGCTGAATAACAATAATTACACTGGCAGTACCGTCATATAAAACGGTCGATTTATTAACTGATGGAGACAAGTAAGTAAGCTGCGAACAATGATAACTATAATATTAAAAAAATTCTGCCCAATCATTTCAATGTCATATCAACATAATCGTTTATATATCTAAAAAAGCAAACATACAGTAGTCATAAAAATGTAAAAAGGAAGCAAAATTGGTTAGCAAAATCAAAAATATTTTTACAAAAATAAATAAAAGGGGTACACTCAATACTTTTCACATAAAATTAATAAAATGCAAAATTAATACAAAGTCTTCACAGAAATCAAACAACATTCAAGAGTATATTATTACGATGCTGGAGGTAGACCGAAACCACGAAGCTAAACTTGTTTCAAGCACAGCTGTTCTAAACTATTCGTTTTAAAAGGAAAAGAAGAATGAAAAAAAAAAGAAAAGAAATATTCACAAAATCAGAAAAACAGAGAGCAGTTTTAGTTTTGTCGGTGGTTGGTGGGTGCTCTGGTGTAGTTTGCTCCTTTTTTCCCTATCAAACATCCATCGTCATTATCTTAGTTTAGTTTTAGTTTTAGTAGAGGTTTTACGGCGCTCGTAACTGCATAAGGTCATATGAGCGCCAGAAGATTAGAGGTGTTACAAGAGAGTAACGAACATAAAAAAGAATATTGCTGCCAAAATAATTACTAAAAAACTAAAGCATGATCATGTGACTCCTATTTTAAAAGCATTACACTGGCTCCAGTGAAAGAGCGTATCATATATAAAATATGTTTAACTTGCTACAAGTGCTTAAATGATTTATCACCGGACTATCTAAAACAGCTTTTAACACCCTATGTGCCTCCTAGAACGCTCAGATCATCTAGTGACAAAACAACCCTTGTTAAGCCTAAAATAAATTTCAAATCATATGGCCAACGCTCTTTTTCATATATTGCCCCACTTGTTTGGAATAGGCTTCCAAAAACTATCAGAGAAGCAGGAAATCTAGAAATTTTAAAGAAGAAACTAAAATCATTTCTATTTTCATCATATTTCGATTAGACAGAATGCATCCAAGCTGTAGATCGTTGTGAGTTTGTATGTGCGTATGTGCATATGTATGTATGTGTGTATGTGAGTATGTATATGTGTGTGGTGCGTGCGTGAGTGAATATGTGTTTGCATGAGTATGTAACACTATGTATCTTTAAAATTGATTTGTAAATCCATTATATGTATCATGTTAAGCGCATAGAGCATTGCATAAGTGGATATGCGCTATATAAATGCAATCCATTATTATTATTAAGAAGAAGGGGAGATAAGGACGATAGACGTTTGATAGGAAAGAAGCAAACCACACCAGAGCACCCGCCAACCACCCACTCGTCATTATCTCTTTCTCCTGTTCTTGGTATATCACTCTCTAGTATCACCTCTAATCTTCGGCACATAATTATAGTATGATCTGTTTGCGTTGCAAGTGCTGCAAAACTTTCACACCCACACACCAAAAAAAAAAAAAAAATCAATAAAAAAAGGGGATACAAGTTTGGCTATGTGCATCCGATTTCTGTCATATTTTGTCTTGGTTTGCGAGCCAAAAAGTACACACCAATAGAGGAAATGGAACATTAATGAAGTCATAGAGGGAAGGAAGAGAACAGGCACACAGGGCTGGTGGGATAAGGGAAGATGCAGGACTGATGGGGGTGAGGGGATATACAGGACTGATGGGGTGAGGGGAGATACAGGATTGATGGGGGTGAGGGAAGATACAGACTGATGGGGGTGAGGGGAGATCACAGAATTTTACACAGAATTCTGTGGGGGAGATACACGTTTGAGAGAGAGAGAGAGGGTGGGCAAGGCTATAGTAATATTATAATACCCAGCGCACACTGCCAGTTGAATTCATTTGTTTGATTCGGTTGGGTTTCAGCCAGATTTTCCTTCAAAGATGGGGGGGGGGGAGCCGCCATTTTGACACTCACACACAAACACACACACACAAACACACACACACACACACACACACACACACACACACACATACTCACAATACGACAGAATGGATTCATGACCTTGAGTAACAATTTGACTTTAAAGGTCACAGTCGAAACTGTCGCATTGTGCCAAAATGGCAGTTTTTGTCTTATCCGTCAAGGAAAATCTCGCTGACCCTCGACTGAATCCAATGAGATCAGTAGTCAGTGCGCACTGCGTATAAGGAAGGCCAGACACTGGCTTGACAGGGTGCTCCATACAACATACGATCTCATCCTTTATCAGACGAATCTATCACGTTTACTACCAGTGGTGGTAAATTAAAGCTGAGGGCTATACAATCATTGATGTTAGAAGTATATTTGTATTTCTGGAGGAGAGGAATCTTAATTACGTTTTGCATCCTTGAAAAGAAAAAATTGTTCCTTTACTGCAACGCTCACTTTGTAGTATATAATATATATATATATATATATATATATATATATTTATATATATATATATATATATATATATATATATATCATATTTATCATATATATATATTATATATATATATATATATAACACATGTATATAACGTGTGTGTGTACACACACACACACTCACACACACACACACACACACAAACTCACTCACTCACTCACTCACACACACACACAGGCACACACACACACACACACCAGAATTTCACGGAAATTATATATCAAACAAAATATCTGAAATAAATTGGACCCTTAATCTTCATGCTGCACATCACATCTAGCAAAACAAAAATCAAAGCGACAACCCCCCCAAAGACTCTGCCAGTCATTGTAAACTTATAAAGTACAGGTAAGTGCAAGGATAGAGGACAAAGTAAAGGGGAGCATGCACACGGTGGGAAGGAAAGATGAGGGTGAAGTCATGCAAGGCACTCGCTGAATCAACAGCTTGGGAAGGTCACACAGTTCCACATCCATGCTATTGTTGAAACAAAATATGATCTATGCCGACGAAACACTTAAAGTAAGGCAAAATATTGGTGCACAGTAGAGAGCAAAATCACAAGACACCCTGACCCAGTTATTAAAATATGATCCAAGCTGCTAGAAATAGTAAAAGAACCAAATAAACCCCAAACAAAGAATACCAAGAATACCATGAATGCCGGAATTATACAAGAGGTGAGAAGCTCGAAGAAAAGGAAACACATTGAGGACAGAAAAATCCAAGAGAAGCGGTATTAAAATATGATGCACTGAAGGTAATGGTATAATGAAAGTGTCGATGGTTACCCTGATCTGGTTACAGAGGGACTGCGCCCTTAAACACGTTGTGATGGGACTGCACAATATTCAGCTTAATGGACGGGAGCTTTGCCGCTACCATGTACGGTGAATTTTGTAAAGACTGATGCAACGCGTAATGCTTCGGCGGCACTACCGGCTCCATTCTCTTCTTCTTCATCTTCTTCGTGTTGCCTTTGATGAGAGAACAAAATCAGGTCACAGCGAATTATTGCCCATTACACACACACACACACACATACAAAACATTGAAACACGCCCATTACACACACACACACATACAAAACATTGAAACACGTTACAGATAAATGCATGACTCTTTTGCTTTTTGTTTTCATTTTGATTCAGGCTCTTAATATAAGAAAATGTTGGAAAAATATCATCAACGTAGAAAAATTTACCCTCAAGACCAAGATTGTCTTTGACCAGATAAAAATTGTGTATATATATTTGATTTTTTGAGCAAAAAATTGTAAAAAGTGTCTCTTAGACATTTCATTTGATTTGAAATCAGAAAAAAATTATTTCCAATGGAGGAGCAATTAAGTTAATCTATTATATACATCTTCTCAAAAACTATAATTAGAACCAAAGAAAAATAATGTTCTAAAACATTGACCCCAAATCAAACTCTTCTCTGTTTGTCTTTGGGTAGCTTCAAGCATTTTTTTCCTAAAGCTTTAAACTGTTCTAACTTCACATGTTTCTCTACTGTCAATCTTTACATAACTTAGTGTTTATTATGCCAAGCTTGGCCAAATTTCACATTTCTTACACTAAAGTTTTACAATAATTTGACGTCATTTATATCAAGCATCTGGCTCCACAACAGCAAAGATAATATGGCAATGGAACAAACTCCATACATGATACTTGTGGAAAGTCAACAGTTTGATTACAGATGTACAAACCAATGATTGTTGAAAACTTAATGCTACTGACGAAACGCACACAGGAAACACATCACTGAACTAAAGCAGATGAGTCAATGAAAACAAACAGCCGCATAAATAATAAACGACATAAATAATAAACGAAAAAAAAAGCCCCAAAAGGTCTGTAGAAGTGGCACTAATCCGTACCCAGGATGTCTGCTGACAGTAAAATGTCGGCCAACACAAAGAAAGGTGAGTATACACCCAGAATGAAGCAGAGCAAAAAGTGCTCCGACTCTATCCCCCAAATTTACATGAATTATTAAAACAAAACACCTTTTTTAAACAAAGTATTAAATACGCTGCAGGTTAAAAAGTTAAAAAACATCCCTGTACAGCTGATAAAAGTCAGGTGCAGGCTGCAGATTATAGAGGAAATACGTACTCAAGAATAGGGGGAACCAAAATCACAGCGACACTCAAAAGTATAATTACAAAAACAAGAGGCTGCATTCTCAAGTCAGGTTCGAGCATGGCTTGTGACTGGGAGAAAGGGGAAGGGTTGGATATATGGAAGGCACAGCTCCTACCACACACAATCTATACGGACATTTGTGTAGCAACGCGGTGGGATCGTGAGCTTATCAGTCCTTTTTATGGATTAGTTCAAGTATACATAATAGGTGCAGAGCCCCCCCCCCCCCCCCCCCACCCCCCCCCCCCCCCCCCAACACACACACCCACACCCACCCAAAGGGAGGAAAAAATATTGGTTTCTTCTATTTCATTAATTTGACGAGCACCTGATTTCACAAAGATGCCACAGATTTATATTCGGTCAGACACGCCAACGATAGCATAGGTATTGACTGTGTACAAGCTCTCGGACGACCTGTTGAAATATTTCAATTTGGTGGGCATGCTAGGAATTGTTGGGGCCGACACTTCGGTGGGAGCTTCTACGGTGACGCTAGCGTAAGGAACTTTGGGCAAGTGGAAAGTTAAAGACTGAGGCTCCCCAGAGGGAAGAAAGGAGGAGGAGGAGGTGGAGCTGGAGTCTTTCTTCTTCTTCTTCTTGTTCCTGCCGTGCTTCCTGAAGCGAGAACCCTGCGGGAAAGCCACAAGTCTGAGATCACCATTACCTTTTGTGTTTGGCTTGAAGGTCTGCAGGTCGGTCGACTCCACGTTGTTGACCGCCACCGTACGGTTGGCGCCGCCGCCTCTGTCCGTCCCCGGCGCGGCTGGGATGGTGTAGTTGGTGGAGACAGAGGTCTTGGACACGTAGCGTTTCTGGTTCAAACCGGCCAAGTATGGAGTGTTCGGGAGTACGCGTGTGGGCTGGGAGTGGCCGCCATTCTGAACCTTGAGACCGCCTGCCGAGTCTGTAAATCTCGGTACGGCGCCGGACTCGGAAAACGGCGGAAGGCTTTGAGTCTCGCTCTTTTTGCTCTCTGTCGTCTTCGAGCGGGCGTTTGTCCCGTGAATGGTCCCATCATTGCCTGATTTATCCGCCGCGGAAGAGTTGTGGAACTTGATGCCGGCAGTCCTGTGTTTCTCGTGGCTCCCGTCAGCAACAGAAGAGCGGGTCTTGTTGTTGTTCGACTCTTTGCCGCTACGGCTCTTGCCGGCGTCTGGCGTGCGAGAGTTGTCTTTCCTTCCGTGAGCGCCGTCGCTGCCTCCGAGAGCTGCCCCAGCAGAGTTTGCTCCCGTGTTGTTGTGGTGAGCATTCTTTTTCACCTCCGCGTTGCGGTCGACGATGGTCTGTCTCATGGCCACGGGGCGCGGGGTGAAGAGCGCGTCCTCCGACTGACGAAACTGTCGCATGGCCCAGTTTGGCCGACGAACCGACTGGCCCTCCACGCACAGACTGATGCCTATGTAAGGTGGGACCGTCACCAGGGGCTGCTTGTAGGCCAGCTCAAACCGTCCTGTGTCGCTATTCCGGTCAAACTTACGGTCCACGACAACTGGAAAATTCCAAGAAATAAGAGACAATTCCCAATTTATAAATGAATAAGCACAGACTGACAGCGATAAATAAACGCATTACAGAGAGAAAGATGAAATAAAAGGTGGACTTGAAAAACTTGTTTTTGCCTCTGACCTTTGACCTGAGGATTTGTGAACCACGGGGTCAAGCTGGACAACTGGTTTTACATTGGTGAATTTGGGAGGAAAATGCAATTTGATTTAGTTTTCGTAAGAGTTTTCCGGCAAGCAACACAAACAGGTCATATTGGTGCCAAAGATTCAGATAACAGGTGTTACTAGAGAGTAACACAAAAACAAAATAGATTAGGAAAGGTAAGAACGATAGATGTTTGATACGAAAGAAGGAGCAAACCACACTACAGCAGGCTACCCACCAACCACCCACACTTGTAGTATTGGTACTCTTCAAAGTAAAAGTAAAGTAAGGTAGTTCCCGTATCCGATCCAGACATTGGGGATTGTCTTGTTAGTGAGACAACTTCCTGGGCCTTCGGTATATTGTGGTAGGGCGGCCAGTTCCTTTCCACGCCGCCTTTACTTCCCCAACTCGCAGTCAGGTACCCATTACTGCTGGGTGGCTAGCAGGGTGCGAAAAAAATTTGTGTCCAAACCGAGGCTCGAGCCCGGACTTTCCGCTTCGGAGATGAGCGCACTAACCGCTCCGCCACCCCACTCTCACTCTTGAAAGTATTGTCAGAGAAAACAGGATCATAAACAAACCAAATAAATGATGACATATTATTGCGGACCCATCACAAAACACGAATAGACACTGTACACTGACTACCTTTGATGGTATCGTCCAACACGGCAGCACACAATCTGGCAGTCACAGCAGTACTCGACTCCATACTCGGGCTTGAATTAATCTCGATGAGCCAGGGCTGCAGATCTTCCGTTAGCATAAAGTCCGCTCCGTACAGCTCAAATGAGGACTGGTAGAATAGAGAACAAGTTTGCAACTTGATGGGAAATTTAGCGAAACCCCCTTCTTAACCCTTCTCTCTTAGGTGCACTCACGCATAGGCTCAACAAGACAGGATATTCATAAATATACATGTCTCACGTGCTGAAACAAACAGCTACGTAAAATATTTTCTCTCTTTCTCCCTCTCTCTCTCTGTTTCATTTGTAGCACTGTGTGTTCAGTAACCTCACTGTAGTTGGTACAAATGAATTTCTCTGTCTCTTCTTGGTTTATACATTGGAAATACAAAACATAACCCTATAAAACCATGCCAATTATAATCTCTACACGATAGACCTTTCTTTTCTACGATACTGCATTATGCCATGCAGCTCGACACACCAGTTGCTCATTATTTTGGACTGTTCTTTAACCCCTTGCCTGCTCTAAGGGAGTACCTGGTACACCCTAATAATTCACACCTGTGTGTGCTGTGGGCGTACCTGGAAGGCCTGAAAAAAACCCTGAATAGACACCTGAATAGACATAAAGGTCTTGAACATCTAGCTCTCACTGGCAAAACTGAAGGCAAACGAGGCAGGGGTAGGCCCAGAGCAACCTACTTAGGGAACCTAAACAAATGGGTAACAGGGAAAGATCAGGGAAACATAGCTTTTTTAAAAGCATCCTAGCAAAGGAATGAATGGAGAACAATGATCGCCGATGTCTGTCGCAGATCTGGCACTGGATGATGATGATATCTTTACTTCTGCACAGTTTTGAAAACCGAGAGACACATCCCAATATTCTCTGTCTACTTTCCAACGCGATCATGTCTATTTCTAGGCTGCTAGTCACAGGATTCACAAGCGGCGGCTAAAGCAAAGAGACATGGTGTGAAGTGTGTTGGGTGCGAAAAAAACAAAGTCAGTCTGCCTCTCTGCGGTTCTTGCGTGCAGTCTACATTCGCCACGATGGCTTTTCATAGGTTGACTAGTTGTGTGTCAGTTTCCGAAGATATAACTTGGCTGTTAGAATATGTTTTGAAAAAAAAAATTGGGATGGGATAATTCATTGATTTTTCTGATTTCAAGGTCTTCTAAAAAGAATCTGAGTCAATTCTTGTATCCCTACATCTCTCCATTAAAAATTATACAGGTTTGTAGACATGTTAGGAAAGACTGACAAACGCGTTTACAGCTGAAGCTGGCTGGCCTTTGAGTGTAGATGTGTACAAACTGAAATGATGAGTCCTCTTTCAAGATGGGAATGGTATTTAGCATACTTTAAAAATCTGCAAATTAGTAAACCCATATTTGAATAAACATCAAGCTTGATCCTGAATGTCATTCTTTACATTACATCATAATCGTCATCTTTGATCTGACCATCATCCTCATCTTTGATCTGACCATCATCCTCATCATCATCATCATCATCGAATTCCAAACAATATTCCCTAGCCTATCAATTACTACAGTGCTGACACATTTTCCATGTAATTTACAAACATCCAGCACTAAATCCGGACGTGGGATTTTAATAAAAAGGAGTCAACCCACCTTCCTGTATTCCACAATATCTTGTGTGACGAGCAAAGAGCAGACGATCGCTCTCTTCATGCCCGGGTATATGATGTCATCCCAAGCGTTTGGCTTGTTTTTGCTCCTGTAGTCCGAAGGAGAACAAAGACAAGAATTACAATAGGTGTAAAACGTTTGACGTACTTCACAGTAAGGTGTAGATCATTGCAGACCCCTACAATTTATTACCTTAAAGAGCATTGCATCAGAATAACATTACGTATGTATCTAGCTTAAAATTATTTTCGCTCACATTGCTGCTCATTTATATTATGCGTGTGACTGTAAGCTTACATGTGTGTGCATGTTTGTGTGTGAGTGTGTGTGTGTGTGTGTGTGTGTGTGTGTGTGTGTGTGTGTGTGTGTATATGTACGTACGAGATAGTACGTGCGCACATAAGTAAAATGTGTAAGTATGAATGTTAGTAAGCCTATGAATGCGTACACGAATGAATGTTAGTATGTGTGTTTGCTTGTTTTTGTGTGTTTTGATGTGCATGTTTACGTGTTTAAGTGGGTGTATGTCTTTATATATACATGCATGCGAGTCCGTACAGCAATTTACACACCTAAACGACTGGTCCCAAAAGCCAAATAAGATGGCAAAAAAAGAGATCTTTCATTTCCCGTTGAGACAGTCTTGTTCATTTACATTTGACCACAATCTAATGTATATGGTTTAACAAAGCTAATTTAACCACAACAATGACGCATTACTGGCTTTTGAAGGGGTACATCTGTTCCATTACTTCTGCCATATAGCAAATCTTCGAAAAGTAAACCTTGCGAGCCAAACTATGATTGCAAAACAGTGAGACTTTTTTAAAATCTTACAATGTTATTGATATTTCATGAACCATTATGGTGAAAACTCTTAGCCCATTACCACATACGACAAAGCAGTAGTCAAACGGTTTTGTAGGCAAATAGTGGACAATGAAAACTAATTTATTCCCTTTCGTCTGTCTGCGCTAAAAAAAATGTGTACCTCATTTAATATTTTACCTTGGCCCAGAAAATGTTGCATGAACAGAAACCAAACAAATATATTTTTTTTTTAAATCTCGACCCACTAATAAAAAGGTTTTTCTCTTTGGGCCCTATATTAAAAATCGCTCTTTGGAGGTATACAGAAACACTAAATAAAGTAAAGTATTTACAATTTATAGTAAACTGGCATGCAATTGCCCATTTTGAGAAACCATTGCATCCTTCCCCCACATTTCAGTGGAAGCTTGTTGTAGATTTCATCCCACGGCTGTCAAGTTTCAAGACGTCTCCACGTGAATCTCGAAAATTACTCACCCCACCTCTTAGATCGTGTTTCTTTGGCGTACCTTTAAGTGTGGTGTAGAGGAAATTTGTCAACTTTGTAATGCTGTGAATCCGCTGTTGATTTTTTTTTACCCGCTTCAGGCTTAAATCAAAGAAAACGTGACGGAACCATAGTTTGCCTTGACTTTTTTAATGGGCTTTTAGATTCTGTTGGTCATCCAACTTTTAGACCCGTATGCAAAGATCAGAGCAGATAAAACAGAGCGATTTCATTTTACCTTGTTTTAAACGCGGTCAGACGAAAGTGAACAAGTTACAGACTTCAACATAAGTTAAGGGCCACCTTGACAGACAGCCCTGATTTTCAAATAATCTATTTTTAAAAAATATATTTAAAAAAGACAGCAGGGAAGGTTTCTAAATCTTCAGCTCAAAAAGTGTTAATGGGTTACCAATACTTACCGCAAAGCTTCATAAAGGGGCAAAACCACCACGTGCAGCACGGAAATCTTCGGGGGATTTTAACCAAATTTGCTGGTTTTTATCGACTTGTGTGCATCACCACAGACAATCCTCCGTTAAGATTTTTGGTGCATGTCATAATCGTACGTACGGTCTCGAACTGTGCTCACTTTGGTGGATTATAAGTATAAGCCGCCGTTCGCGCAAAATTCGGTGTCGCATCAATATGAAACCGAGACGAAAGCTGAGAGACAGGTCGTGCCAGAGCTATGGCATGGCTGCAGGATTGAGTAGGAGCCCGAAAAGTTGCAAGAAGGCTTGCAGTGTCACACTCTGTCATTGTCTTCTTGGGGCAGCGCCATCAATTCACTGGATCAGTCCAAGAACGCCCACGTGCAGGTCGACCCACGAAGACCACTCAGAGGGTTTGCAAGTGGTCCATTAGCTTACGTTGAAGTCTGTATAAATTATTGGTGTTGTGTTGGAGTTGTAGGCTTTTCATATTTTCATTGTGTATAACTCACCAGACGATCATCATACAGTGGTGCGGTAGAAGGCTGAGGTATGAAATTGACAATTAGTTTGTTGTGACAACAGGAAATGTCCATTGGCTTTGATGATTACCACTCACCCACAGCACTTGGATTCGAGATTAAAGCGCTGAAGAGAGAGCCGAGGACAATCCAGCCAATAGACAGAACCCTGACGCCGTTCAAACAGAACAAGGTATCGGCATGTCCGGGGCCGAGGACGCTGCTCATATTCTTGCGCAAGGAGAAACTAATCAGGAATCTTTGCAACAGCACAGCTGTAGGGATTACCGAGATTAAGATCAGGCAACAGAAGAAGGGATATACTTATAGTTATAGCATCACAATGGGAATAAAGTGGCAATAAGATCCTGATAGGGCATGGTAGGAGAAATGTTAAGAAAAGTGTTCCTGTGAGAATAGACAAGATCTATAACAGTCTAAATCTATAACAAGTAGATTTATAATGAAAAAGAAAGGGGACAATCTGAAAGTGGATTTTATCAAGTTAAAAAAGATTATAAACGTGTGGCCAGACGGGGCAGGTGGGTTAAAATGTATGTTGTTACTATTAATAATCTTTGTTTGTTTTGAAAATGGTCAAGATAATTATAAAGTTCTTATGAGCGTGCAGTGTCAAGAATGAACAATGATTTTGAGGTCCTCTACAAATGTATAAGAAAATAACGTTGCTACATTTGTTTGTTTGTTTGTTTGTTTGCTTGTTTGCTTGCTTGTATTTTGTTTGTTTTTTGTTTGTTTGTGCTTATTTTTAAGAAAAAATTAAGAAAAAGTTATCAAAATCACAACAAATTTTGGGAATGAAACGGCTAAAAACTGTTTGATTTTCAAAAGTATGGATGTCAACAATTCTTGAATTTGTCTTGCCTTACTTCATGCCATGAGACCAAACGCTGAAAGCTAGCAGGCTGTGGGCTCCCATATTGACCACAAGAGAAGAAGAAGAAGAAGAAGAAGAAGAAGAAGAAGAAGAAGAAGAAGAAGAAGAAGAAGAAGAAGAAGAAGAAGAAGAAGAAGAAGAAC